CCACACCCTGCACACTAGAAAACCAACCAATACTCTGAAGACCCCACCATTGGCCGAACAGTTGGAACACTACCTTTCAAACATTATAGAAACCCTAAATACCCTAATACCAAAACCCTCTAAAAGCTAAGCCCCGTAGAAACCCTAAACCCTAAATCCTGGACCTTCTAAGCTTCAAACCTCCTAGAAACCTTAAACCCTAAATCCTAGACCCTCTACTCTGCAAACCCCCCAACAACCCTAAACCATAAATCCTTAAACCCTCTACCCTGTAAACTCCCTAGAAGCACTAAAACCTTCACCCTTCAAACACCCGTCCCTAAACCCTAAACCCTACACCCTAAACCCTAAACTCTAAACCCTGAACCCTAAACCCTAAACCCTTTTAAGCCCTAAGATGCTGAGCGCAAAGCTTGGCCCTGGCAGCTGCAACGTCTCCCAGGCCATTGGGTTGGAGGCCTCAACCAAAAGAGGGTTTAGGGTTTAGGGCTTAGGGTGTAGGGGTCTAGGGTTCAAGGGCTTAGGACTTAGGGCCTAGGATTTGGGACTATGGGTGTAGTGCTTGGGAATTTAGGGTATAGGGTTGCCCTTTGAAGGGTTGTAGAGGGGATATACAAATTCTTATGACTTTAGGGTTTAGGGCTTGGGGTTCAGATTGTTTCAATCCCCGTCCCCGATAAAACATCACCTCAAAAAGAACACCATTTGGAGCAAGTGTTCTGAATTCATTATGAGGCGGTGGGGAGGTTCAACATCAGGGAAAGGGCATTAAATTAGAGGGGTTTAGAGGGGGCATCAGGTTCATGTAGGGGTTATGTAAGCTTCTATAAGAATATTCGGGCAATATTAAGGTGATGTGGGATGATAAATGGGTATATACACAAGGTGAAGGCTTTCCAAGTTCGGCTTCAACTATTAGGGTTCTTATAGTAAGGAATATGGAACCTGGAGCAGGCTGAAGACCATGCAACTTCGGAATACAAAACCAGAAGCCTCCAAATGGGGTGTTACAGAACAAATCCTAAACCCTGAACACGAGTATTAAGTGGCTTTTACGTGGGCCTAGTGAGTCTAGCGCGTTAGAATGTCTACCTCTGAGTTTCAATAAATTTCGGGTCCTGGCTTGGAGATGTCTATGATACGTGGTCCGATACGTTGAGCAGTGTAATAGAACCCCGTTTTGGAAGCAGACAAAAAGGGGTGCAAAGATCTCAGGTGTTTTGGTACTTTCTTGGCTCTGGGTGTTTAGGGGTTTAGGGTTTAAGGGTCTGGGGTTTGGCAGGGGCTGTGCTTCACCCCATAAGCGGTTTTGTGTCAAGAAGCGTGGTTTCGGATTTAGGGCTTAAGGTCTCCCGCTGGGAGGGCGGCAGGGGAATACCCCATCCAGGGCGCCTTGCCTACTTCAGGGGCCCGAATACTTCCTAATATCATG